TTCAGCACGATAGCTTTGTATGGATCCCCTCCTGAGATTGGTCACAGAAACAGGCTAAAATAAAAACCAGTTTCAGCACGACTCGGCCCTATGTTATTTACTTTCTCTGCACATTAGTCTATGGATCAGGATATACGTTGTCCTAGGGCAGTTGAGTATTAGAGTGGAATAAGCCAAAAGCATGGTGTATTTTACTATTTTAATTGTGCTTTTTTAAGGTATTTGGTTGTGCATCAACTGAGCATGTTTTGAATTCTTCTTCCAGAATTTTAAATCACCTGATTCCTTTTGATAAAAATAAGAGGACAGAGGTAGTGAGCTTTTTAGCTAAACATTACTTTTTATTGTGTACCCCCCCACCATCTTTTTTTTAATAATTGCTTGAGTCATGCTAGAGAATATTGTCCAGAAGAGTTACACAAAGGCGTTCTGAATTTTATCTGGTCAAATCACAGAACTATATCATTAGAAAATGTCTAGTAGTGAATAAAATCGTAAATCATGTAGATTAAAAATGACTCGCTGCTCCCACTTAACCATGTTTCCATAAAAGCAGTTTTCAAAATATGTTCTCTTAAAATATCTTCAAAATAGTTCCTGGTTGAATGGAAACAAGTGTTGGGAAAATTCTCTTGTTGCAGACGTATTCATTAGTGTGGTGTTAGCATTGCCAAAAGGAAGGAGAACATGCCAGGGCAAACACGCTCAGCCCTGAGAACGTTCCTTCTCTGAATTCCTAGCCTGTGTTTTCTCAGTCTCCTCCCCTCCTCATCTAGAAGTTTCATTGTTGCCATCATTATCCAGAATGTAAATGGCTTTGCCAGGAATGCTGCTCACAGCTTGTCCAAGAACAAATGTACAGGAGATATATGTGCTCATTTCCATTTTTGTGCTTCGGGTATTTTTCTAACAATTGAAAAAGCCTGGTATAGGAAGAGAGCATTGTAGTCTGGAAATTGTTTTTTGTTGAAATTGGTCTAGCCGTGCTTCTTCCTCAGAGGCAAGGTTATAAACCCTGTTTCTGCCTACTTTGGATTAGTCAGTGGATTTTCTGTCTCTTGGTGGTATTGTAGCTTTGTATACTCCAGAATACTTCTGTACCTAAAAATGTGCCTTACAGAATAAATTTTCTTTAAAGACTTGATCTTTGGGCATTTCTCCTTAAATCTTCTGTTCTCAAAGGTCTAGCCATTGTTATTAAATCCTAGATTTTTAGAGCCAGTAGTCCCTTTACAAACCAAGTAAGACTGGAGATTTTAGGGATTCTGTAGTCCAGTTATTTCTCTTTGCAAGTAGAGAGACAGGCCCACAGAAGTGAAGTGGCTGCCCAAGGCCTGCAGGCCGTGGCGGAGTTGGGATCACCCTAAGTCTCTGTTAGTACTTTCTCTTTCCAGTCGGATTCTCCCCTCTGTCTTGGAGCTCAGATATTGTTTGATACTTATCAAGGGCCCTGAGGACTGGGCTCCAACCCATTTATCACTAAAGAATATGTTTACTAAGTCTTTTTTGGCCCTATTATGTACTCTTGGACTCAGTCAAGCCAAAATCTAGGTTTAATTGAAAACAGTGTGGAAACCTGATACCAAATGTAATCTCCAGGCCTTGTTACAAGGAGGGAGTCACTTTCAGAGACTATTTTGATAAACATGTAAAGCTCTTTCACTGGAGCTGTTTTCTTACACCTTTGAGATTACCTGTGACATAAGTTGTTGAAGTTTCATTCTTACTGTGGGAGAGAGCGCTCATTCCATTTTGCTTGAGATCTGCTATTCCCATCAATCCCTCCCCAGCAGCCTTCCCACCTCACTCAGAATGAAAGTCAGCATCCTTACAAGGGCCTGCAAATGCTCCTCACCTCTATGACCTACCTCTCTTACAGTCTTCTCCTTATTCACTCCGCTTCAAGTTCACTAGTCTCTTTGCTGGTCTTCAAACACATCAAGCAAACTCCTGGTGCACTTTGCACTTGGCTGTTCATGCTGTGTAGATACTCTTCCCCTAAATACTGAATGACTCCCCTCTCACCTTCATGTTACGTCACCTTCTCTGTAAGGCCCTCCCTGACCATCCTGTTTGAAATTGCTGCCCCTGCAGTTGCATTCCTATTTCACGTCTCCTTTTTAGTGGTGGTTTTCTCCATAAAACTTGCCACCTTCTAAGAGCACTTCTGTTTTTAAAGAGCTCTCCAGGTGATTCTTACCTAAGCCAGCATTGGGAATTTCTGCCATAGATATTGCTTCACTGAGTGTTACTTGTGAGAATTGTAGCAGAAGCAGGATTTTAAGTATCAAGAACGAAGTTTAAAGGTCTTTATTGTAGCTTCAAGCAAAATACTTTTCATATAGAACAAATCTCCTGAATTAAATCATATGTAGTGGCTAAACATTAATGTTTACCACTCGACTGTTGTAACAGCAGTATATTCCTGTAGGTAACTAAACTTGAGGACTGCGTGCCTTATAACCTGAGGATCTTCTGATTCTTTGTAATGAATTCGTATTATTTAAACAAGAGTGTTTAAGATATGAGATCTCACATAAAATAGTTAATTTAAATGACCCTTTTTTCTTGTTCAGCACAGATAACTGATGTATAATTAAATCTATTTTAAAATGTTTGCTATTTATAATTTTTTATTTGAAAGGTTTTTTTCAACTATTAAAAATATACATTGTAGAAATGTTGGCAAGTCAGAACAGTAGTAGTATAATGGGGGAGTCTCAAAGTCAACTCCACTGACACTTGTTCGTTTCCTTCTAGTCTGTTTACGTTGCTCTGAGCCTTCTTCTGGTTCGGGGGGTGGGGTGGGAGAAAATATTTCTACCACGAAGAATTAAGCACTGTTAACAGTTGTACATATTTGCCAGTTTCCTATCTATCCTATCTTCCCAGTGCACGCCTTTTAAAAAATGGAACAAATAATATACAAGCACATATCTTTTTAAAAAGACATTTAGTATTATGGATAAATTCATCTTTAATTCCCCATCTGTCCCCTATTCCCACCACTGGCCCTGCACCCTCCCTGAAATAATTACTTTTGTAAATTTGATATATGTTGGTCCAGTATAGTTTCCATACTTGTTACCGTATGTGTTGCTTTGTTTAAGCTGTAATGGTATCATGCTGTAAATATATCATTCTGCAGCTTTTTTTCCCCTCAGCTTCAGATCTGTCCAAGTTGACACTTACCGATCTAGTTGGCTCCCATGGCTGTTTGGGACTCCCACTCTGTGGATATATACTACAGTTTCTCCAGTCCTTTTAATAGGGTTGAATTTGGTTCTTGGCTTTTATAAATAATGCTGCAACCAATATCCTCTTATGTCTCCTCCAATACCTGTATCAGTGTTTTTCTAGAGTCATGTAGGTTTTTATCCTGCTTTTTCGCCTCTTAACATTAAGATATGAGCATTTCCATTGGCTTAGTATAATCTCTTCATAAACACAGACCTCTTAAATCTAGACTTTGAAACATCTTTCATTTTTCTAATGAAAAAATAATACGAAATTGTAATTGGACACAAGGCTTTTCTTTTTGCATCAGAGTAATTTAAACATTGCATGGGCTTTCTTACTGGTAGGTAAAAAGCTGTTTCAACACAGAGGATTGTAAAACAAAAATTAGTTGCATAATGAGTACTTGGAGTGGCTAGAGCAAGGGAGGACTGGCACACCTGGGATTTTGTATTCTCATCCCCCTTTTCTAAGTCTAGAGAAGTTTCTTAGATTTTCCGAGATGTCCTCTGTCACAACTCACCCTCAGGGTTCTCCTGATGCCATTTCTCTGTATCTTTCGTGACACTTGCCTCTTCCCTGTCAGTACTCTCCCTACGTCAGCTTTTTGCGCACTTTGCAGTCACTTCTTCGTCTCTTGTTCCATTGCTACAGTGACCCCCTCAAGAATAAGTCTACGGTCTTTATTTTGTACCCTAAACAAGTACAATGCCTGACATGTACTTGTAGTGACCAAATATATTTTAAATGACACAGGTAGTGACCAAATATATTTTAAATGAAGGCAATATGAGGTGGGAGTGAGTGAGGTGGGGCTGGGATATAGTGATGGTCAGTTTAGTAAGGAACTTCAATTTATTGAAAGTACGGAACTAAAGAAATCTTAAAAGGAAATGCGGTTATAAGTATGACAAAATGATTGCTTTGACAGTGGATCTCTGCTTTAGGATATTGTCATTTGCATACACAAACTGATTAAATCACTGGTTTTCAGTTAGGAAGTAGTTTCTCCTTGGAATATAAATATTAATATATTTGTTAAAGTCGGTATTTGTTTTTCTAGGAATAAATTTAAAAACTTGAACTCCTGATATAGCCATTTTACCGTTGTTTTTTTTCTTTTAACTCCTTACCTCATTTCTTCGTTGCCCCAATTTTAATCAAAACTGGGTTTCCTGGAATGAGTAGACTAAAGTTAAAGGAAACATTTTGGTCACCGTTCTTATGAAATCCTTTGTGGTCTGGAAGCGGTCCTCCTGTACTGTTTCAACAGCTTCATTCATGTTCTGCACACAGTGTAGCAGAATGATACTGGTAACTGAGCTTCAGAAGGAGAAGTTCAAATGCAGAACCTCCAAATGTAGAGATTGAACAATAAAACTTTTGAGAGGGGAGTCAGACTAGCTTTCTTAACTCTTATCGTGGCACTAGTTATAAACTATTTAATGCTATAAATTTTCTTGGCGACTGCCTTCATAGCTCAGAAAACATAGCTCAGAAATCATTTCTTTTAATAATTATTTTGTGTAAGAAACTGCATTGCTCTCAGTTTGCTCATTTTTTAAATAGAACCCTGATGTATTTTAGGTAATTGCCCCTGTCAGGACACAGTTTTTCAGTAACCAGAGATCTAAGATTGAAAGTAATGAGCTATGGGTATCATCACATTTTTCCAATACCAAAATTGTTTCCAATACAGAAATACTTTAAAAATATTTGTTTGCTGGATACTTTTTGCTGCTAATTAACATCTCTTTTTACAGGATTCATGAATAAAATTTTCCATCCCAACATTGATGAAGCGTAAGTAACTTTAAAAATGTTTAAATCTTAGCAGCAACTGCTCTTGATTAGTGTTCATCTCTCTCTTCATTATACAAAAGCCTCAGTTATCTTTTTGGATTTTATCAGCAGAGGACTGTATGAACGGTCACTTAACCTGTAGAATCCCAGGGATATATTCTAAACCACTTAGTTCAGATTCTACTATTGGACTACTTAGGTCTTCCATTGTCATGAGTGGGTCCTTTATTTCCCTTGATACCCAGCTAGCATTTGTAATATTCCACATCTCCATTCTCTTTGTATAGACACAATTCAGGGATCCATTTTCAGTCCTTAAAGTATTTCTTAGTTCGTGAGAGTAAAGCAAATGTGAATGACTGTAGTTTCATTTCAGTTATTGAATCTTAATTATCCCTTTCCTCCTAATATTTTATTAGTGATATTTTAAAATGCGATACCAGTGCCTCCTGTTTTGTTCCTTCCAGTGCTGTTTAGAATACGTGATTATTTGTTCTGCATTTTTTCTTGCCATGGCACTAAATTTTGATATTTCATGCACATACACATATGGGGAACCCTGTGTGAGTAGGTTGTGTACATACATCACACCCCATTGTCCTTTAACACTTCTGTGTGTCAAGTCATCCTAACAAGGATGTTCTCTTATATAACTGCAGTAGAGTCATCAGATTCAGGAATTGTATACTAATGAACTACTTTTTAATCTACTGCCATGTTCCAGCAATGTGCTTTTTAGCACCTTACCCCCCTACCCCGACCCCCCTTCATTCAGTAAAAGATCCAGTCCAGGCTCATGTATTGCATTTAGTTGTCATGTTTTATTAAACTACTTGTCATGTTTTATTAAACTCCTTTAATCTGGAACAGATTAAAGTTCCTCAGCTTTTTATAAAGTTGACATTATTAAAGAATATAGACCAGTTATTTTATAATATGACAGTCCCTCAGTTTGGGTTTGTCTGATGTTTTCTTACCATTAGATTCAGAGTATGCATTTAAGGCCAGAACCAAAAGTGAGGTTGTGTCCTATTCAGAATATCCTGTACGGAGGCACACAGGTCTGTCTGTCCCTGGTTACCAGTGTCAGTTCTCACCACCTGGTTAAGGTGTTGTCTAGTTTCTCCATGGTACAGTTTTTCCCTTTCAGTCTATAAGGAGACACTTAAGATTCCGTATATATTCTGTTCCTCAACATACTTTCCCCAATTGGGATTCTTTTTTTTTTATGACCTATTAAAAGTATTTTTCTTGATAAGTAAAATTAGTTGCCAGATACATGCAACTAACTTTCTAATTTTTAAAAAAATGCCATTCTTTCCATCTGTTTCAGGTCAGGAACTGTGTGTCTAGATGTAATTAATCAAACTTGGACAGCTCTCTATGGTGAGTTTGGCCATGGAATATTTTTTTAGAGATGTTGAGACACTGCCTTAAAATAATGTCATTTGGCTTTTCTTCTCTGATTTAAGATGTTTTGTTGGGAAGGGGAAGGGATTTTGAAGGCCTGAATGGGAAAGTTTGATTAGTGAAAAATTTTTTTCTCAAAAGTTCAAACTTTGGTTTAGCAGTAGAAATTTAAAATAATCTTTTGAGATTCTGAAATTAAGGTATAGTGATACACATATGCAGACATACTACTACATATGCAAACATTTTTATATATATGTGTATTTAGAAGTGCATTGTATATACATTTTTCTGTAATACCTTTTATTTTTAGAAAAACTCTTAGGAACGTCCCTGTGAAATGATATGATGTATTAAGAGGTTTGGGGGATCATCTGTTTCAAAGGCCTAAACCTCTCTATGAAACAAAGAATAATTAAGCTTTACCTTCAGTGCTGAAATTGACATCTCTTACAATGACATCAACAATGAATTGCCTAGGTCTGCAAAATACTATGCTAAATATCACAGAGAGATAGATATAAGGAGTATTAGGCCTTTTCCCCCTGAACTTGTAACTTGGTTGGAGAGCTAAAAATGTTTTAAAATGTTTTTCAAGTTACGTAGGGGTACAACAAATGACTCTTGTTTATTCCCCTGCATGTCCAAGTCCACACACATTACAGATTCTCTCTGCTCTCGTGCCCCCTCCTTCCCACCCACGAAGCTTCCTTATGCTCCAACTGCAAGTAATCTCTGGCCACTCTTACATTTTATAGCTCTGTTTTGTGGCCTGCATTTACTTTCTGTCTTGTGTTGTTGTGCCTATATTTTTTGTGCTACTAGATTATTTCTTGCCTTAAAAGCTGGTGGAGGTGCATGTCTGGTTTGTCTTTAAGTCTTGGCATTCCTAACACAGTGCCTCACACCAGTGTGATTGAAAGAGCGAGTGGTACAAACAGTCGCTGAGAGGTACAAGAGGAGGGGGAAGATCAGTTTAGGCTGGGTTAACCAGGGATGGCCTCCTCTTGGTGAAGAGTTGTGAGACCTTTTAACAGTTTAAGGTATGTGAGACATCTTACTTCAGCCACTGTCCGTGAGTCACCTTGCCAGACATCCTTGTACTAGGATGGTGCATGAGGATCACAGAGGAAGGTTGGTCACCAGGAGCACACGGGTATCCTGTTTTTTTCCTCCTCATTCTACCATTCAAGAATTATTTCCTCTGCCTGGACTTAGCTTCCCTAATCTTTGAGTGGCTGGTACTTTCTTTTTTCACCTCAAACATTGCTTTCTAGAGAAGCCTGCTTTCCTAGCCACTGCAGCTAAAATCATACCCTTCTGCAGCACAGCACCCTGTTTTAAAAATCTGTCTTTAAAGCCAGTATTTTTTTGTTTATCTTGTGCTATTAGATTGTAAGCTACACAAGAGCAGAGACTTTATTGTATGTGTATACATGCGTGCACACACAAAGTGTCTAAAACAGCGCCTGGTGTACAATAAGGATTCAAATATTCGTTGACTTAATGAGTGACTTAATCATGCCCAACACTGTTTAGCATGAGAGTTTTAGGGAAGCAACAGCTTATGAAGGAGATAAGGCAACAGGAAAGAACATACTCTGAGGTTGATTAAATGGATTCCTTTTAAGATGTGTTTTTTTTTGTTTTTTTGGGTTTTTTTTTTTTTGTAAAAATGTCTCATGGCAGGCTGCCTGGAATATCTGATGTAATGATGTCTTAAACTGCATTCACATTTTAGAAATGTACATAACAAAATACTGCAAGCTGGTTCCAATTACAATAAAGTAAATTGGACGTTCGTTTAACTAATTCTTTTACTGTTGACCAGAAGAGCTTTGTGAAGAGGTTTGCTGATTCTCAAGTACCTCACATCTCAGAACAGATTTTTTTCAAATAACAACTTTATTGAAGAATGATCATTTACATACATAAAATTCACTCATTTAAAGTGTAGTTTGGTAGATTTTAGTATATTCACAGTTATGTACAACCATTACTACATTTTCATCATAGAACATTTTCATCACCTCAGGAAAAAACCCCATACTCCTTAGTTACCACACCCTTTTCCCCCTCCCCTAGCCCTGGGGAACAACTAATCTACTTTTTGTCTCTATAGATTTGCCCACTCTGGACATTACTTATAAATAGAATTATACAACATGTGGTCTTTTGTGATTGGCTTTTTTTCCACTTCATATAATGTTTTCAAGATTCATCCATGTTGTAGCATGTAACAAAACTTCATTCCTTTTTATAGCCAAATAATCTTCCATTATATAGACATCACATTTTTATCCATTTGTCAGATGATGGACATTTGGGTTGTTTTCACTTTTTGGTTATTACAAATAATGCCTCCATAAATATTTGCGTACAAGGTTCTATGTGGACATATGTTTTCATTTATCTTGTGTATTTCCCTAGGGGCGGAATTGAGGGGGTGGAACTGTGGTCACTCTACTCTGTTTAACCATTTGAGAAACTGACAGACTGTTTTCCAAAGTGGTTATACCATTTTACATTCCCACCAGCAGGTATAAGAGGTTCAGAATAGACTTTAAAGCAGAAGTCCAACATGACTAAGGTTTCATCACGTCTATAAAATGTTAGAATATGTTTTCATACTATCTTGCAAAGCATTTAGTAAGTAACATGAACTAAACCTCATTGGTCAAAGTAAACTTCGATTTCTGTATTCCGTGTGTGAGTTAAGTGTTTTATAATACAAGAATATGGACACACTAACATTACAGGTAAGTGCAGGAAACCAGAAGAAATATTTTTAGAATATAGTCAAAAGTATACTGTGCATGGGAGAGTTGTTTTTGACATTTTGCTCAAACCCAACTATTCCTTAAAAAAATTTTAGAATTTTCTTTCAATTTAAATTTAAAATTTCTTTCTTGGAAAGTTTTAGGAATAGCTAAATACAATTTATATAAAAGTACTGGTAGAAAGGATTAGTTCAAATTGCTTTGTTTCTTTTAGGCTTATCTGATCTTGAAATCTAAACTGAATTTTTATTACAAACTGCTAAACCCTCTGGCATTGAAGGTTAGTTCATAATTGGAGTTACGAATCACTCAAATTTCTTGCTGTGATTCTTGAGAGAATCTTAGTTCAAAGGACAAAAAAATCTAATTTAATGTGAAACAACTAATAGAAAGTTGGCATATTAACACAAATATTCAACTGAGAAGCAAAAGCTTAGCCTGGCAACCAAAACTTGTTTCAACACCTCCATTATATAATGTGTTAAGGAGCAGGGAATTAACTGGTGAAATTTCCTGCGGTTAACTTTGCCACAGGGCATTTGCTGTGCAATGTGTATACATGTTCGTATATCAGCAATTCCCAGTTGAAATTTCAGATTTATACTTAAACAATGTTCATATTTGTAGCAAATTTAGTCCTCCATAGCCCCTAAAAGGAAATTGATTTCTGATTGTCCATTTGACTCATTACTTCTGTTCTAATCCTGTTTTTGTTTGGCAAGTATACATGCAGTTTGTTCATTTAGAAGCTCAAAATTGGTATAATTAATTGTAGTTTAATCACCCAGTAATTTTTAATTTTATATTATTTAACCTTGCAAGAGAGCTAATTACAGTGAGTAATTTGGCTAATTTTCTAAAGATGCTTGTCATCAGTATGAAGTTATCTATTGAGTATGAAGTTTCTATTGTTATTCCTGTGACATTAAAAGGAAGGTAGCAGATGCCATCACAAAATTGATTCATTTTGACTTCCTGTATGATAGCATCTTTTTTTACATTCTTTCCTGGTAATTCCAGACAGCAAAGATAAAAAGCTCTGGAAAACTTAAAATGCAGCCAAGGGGGTCTGGATTTCAGTTTCAAAAACAACTGTAATTTTGTTTTTTATTTTTTTTAACAATTATAATTTTAAAGACTGATGGAAGGAAAGTTCATTAAGCCATAGGTCGCTTTTTAAGCTTCCTTTCTATTTTTCAGTTTTCCTTTTTACTCCCAAGAAATGTTTTATCCATAGTTGTCTTTCCAACAACCCAAACTCCTGGAAGCTCAGGCACCTTCCCTACAATATAGCTTTAATTGCCCTCCCACCCTCTGGACTGCGCGTGCATGTTTGACCCCTGCAAATTGTGTTTCTCTCGCCAACTTTCATTTTACTCATTTCTCAACTGACTTGATAAATTATTTATTTTGTAGATCAAATTGTGGATATGTAAGGTGGAAGACAATTTTCTTATAAAATTGGTAGTTTATAATTTTATTCTTACTCTTAGGGTTGCTAGCCAGTGGACTGGATACTCCTCTTATTTTGCTGGTGAGAAAAATCAACATTTGGGAAATTACTTCCCCTAGGTCATCTGGGGAGTCAGTAACAGACAAGTGAAGTTAACTACAACAGAAGGAATGCTTCAGGGCCTTGAGATTAGATTTAGACAAGAGAAACAAAGTTACTTTTACTATACATTTTGAAACATTTTAAACCATAAATTTAATAGTACTATGTTATGGCCTAACAAACTTAAACTTCTAAATGAATGTAAGCTTTCCCATGTTAAAAATACTTCATCCAGTGAATCCAAATAATTCAAATTTTGGCTGAAGGTAATTGTATCTTAAAATAATGCTTTACATTGAATTAGTGTTTGCTAACTATTTCTAGACATTTTAGTGTTGTTTCACAGACAAGAGATATATGTATCTGCATGGATGATTGATTAGCCAACAACTATTTGAACAGGCTTGAGAACATAGTATTAACGATCCATCTATGTTGGAATCACAAACATGATCCTGCCTTTAGAACAGCTGGATGTCATTATGAGTCCCCTAGACAGGCCAGGAAGAGCAGTTTCTTTCAAGTGCTATGGGAGAAATGTCAACTGTAGTAGATAAGAATATGCTGAGTTTTGGATTTGATAGCTTCAGGACTGTCAAAGTAGGACATAGTACTTAGGAGGACATAGTACTTAGCTCTAT